AATAAAATGCACAAATAAAATGCACAAAATTTATTTTATAGGCATTATACTCAAGCATATAATCACTTATTAGAAATACAAATAACAGACACAAATGTAATGGAAATTACAACTATTGCTTCTTTTATAAATTACAAATTATGTAAAATAATGTTCAATTTAAATGTTCCTAAAGATGCTATATCACAATTTAGACTTCATACTGACAGGTCAGAAATATTCATAATAAGTTTCATAATAAAATAAGTATATAATAATTATAATATTAATATTATTTACAATAACATTAAATTGGTAATGCAGATTCAAATTATGGACTGGTCCAAAGGAACTTATATTTGAACATCATGCTTGGATGTGTAGTCAATTTTCCACATTTGCAGAATTATTTGATGATGCTATTCGACAAGGACTTCCTGCTGTTCAAACTCAGCATCCTGGATATTATTTTCAATCAGCAGCTCATCATGCAGGTTTAAGGCAAGCAGCTTGCAAAGAACTTTGTCAGGTATATTTCATATAGATTGAAATATTTAATAAATAACATTTTTATATAAAATTTTTATTATAAATATATATTATTTTAGAATGTAAATAGCTATCCAGAACCTGATCCATTAGCTGGAGAAGAAAAACTTGAATTCTATGGACAGCGACCATGGCGTCCTGGAAAATTAAGTGCAGAACCTGCAGATCCTATGAAAGAAGTACTTGCTATACAGGCTTTGCAATATAAAGAAAAATATACAGTTAATCATTCAGTAAGAATAAATTCACTTAAGATTTTTTTATTTAAAAATTTTCATTTATTTTTATTAATTTCATATAAATAAGAATTCTAATATAAAATTACTATATTTTCTAATTATTATATTATATAATTATTATATTATATTTTCAGAATATAATTATTGGTTTATTGGGCAATGCAATTTCACAATTTAAAGTATATAGATGTCCACGAATGAGAAGAGTATTAGGTAAAATATATTTAATTAAAATAAATAATATATAAACTTTGTTTAATAATATATATAATAATTATTTTAGTTGTACAAATGGCTGAAGAATATTATAATTGTAAAGATTATGGAAAAGTTCTAACGTAAGTCAAAAGAATATTAATATATATGTACACAAATTTATTATAAAATAAAAATAGTACAAAAAAATTTTGTACTATTCATTAGTCCAAAGTTTGACTCTAACATTATTTTTATCTAGACATATTTCATTACTTAACATCAAAATCATAAAATTTGATTGGCCAGATTATTGATGCACATGTTATGGGAATATCACGGTGAACGGTGGCCTGTCTTAATCACAAATATCTTAAAAAATGCTTTGCGTGCGGCATATCTTTCCACGAATATTCAAGACTACATCACCTTGGCATTTGAAGCTTTGGGACCTTCTACTACATTTTCGGAAGATTATAAAATTTCTATTTATAATAATATCATTAATATTCTTCATGTGAGTAATTTTATACAATATCATCTTAATTTTATAAATATTTTTAATTGATTAATTATACAGAATATGAAATTATAGAAAAAATCACCAACTCCGGATTCTGATTTACCCGATGATGTGAAATATCCCGCAATAGAAAAATGGGTAATCGAACTTAATCAATCAGAACCAATTGTTTTTACAATTGATGATAATAACATGAGTTCGTTTATAGAAGTTAAAGCAAGGTTTTTACAACCAAAGTATGCAGTCAATTCTATGGTTAGTGTGGAAGTCATTATTAGGTAATTTTATAAGCTTATATTATTTTTGTAATATATATGAAAAAAAGACAACTTCTAATAAAATTTATATTTTGTTTAGAAATTCATATAGTAATATCATTGAATTTTCTAAAATATCAATAACAATTAATAATCCAGGATATAATGAAGAATTTATTATTAATGATACTAAACATAGCAATCTTATTTTTCATGGGAAAGAAATGAAAAAATTTCTTCATCAATTTCAAGCTCCACAAAAAAATGATAGTAATGAAATGCGCATTACTACAATTTCATTGTACATGGGTAATGATGAAAGTTGCTGTATTATTTTGAGATTTTCTGCTCTAGGGAGAGAAACAAATTTTTTAAGCCGATTATATCCTGAAATACAACAACTTCGGTATATTTAAAATAAAATATTTTTATTGTATATTTTTATGCAAAAAACTGATACATTTTATATTTATAATAGTAGAGGAGAATTCGAAACAATACAACCACTAGTCAGTGCTGAAATAAAACAGGAAGAATCTAGTCTGAGTATAAGTGCAGAATCAAATAATCCGGCGCTTTTAGGAGAATGGCTCCCTATTAATATATCTGTTACTACTAATGAAGAAATATCATCAGCATTTTTAAATGTATTACTTGTATCTGATGGAACAAATGAACAATCAAGTATGTATGTAATTATTAAAAAAATATTTACCATATTTGATGATTATGATTTCATTAAATTATAGCGGAATTAAGCTTAACAATGAATAATAAACAATCGGTAATATCGGTATCTATTAATAATTTGGGAAAGAATTGCATTACTCATCAAACTGTATATTTAAGAGCTCACAAAGTTGGTGATCGAGATATACATATAAAGGTATATATTATTTTAATTAATCTCTTTAATTTTTATGTAATAAAATAATGCATATATAATTTTATTATAACAGGTAGAATATTCAAGATCTAAACAAATTAAAGGATTTAAAGAATTAATATATTCATTGTCAGTTACAAAACCATTTGAAATATCAACATTATTTTATACATCACTTTTTGAACCATTAACAAAAGGTTTTATTTATGAACCATTTATAATTATGCCTCATATTTCTTGTATCTCTCCATGGCCTATATATATTATAAATACTTCTATAGAATTGGTAAATAATATCTTCATTAATTATTATTTTTTATTCATGATATATAATTATATATTATTTATAGGGAGATTCAATAGAAAGAGAAAGTGAAGATCAATCAGTATCTGTTTTGGCGGGTATTACATTATCTGAAAATGAAACAGGTACGGATGCATATTATTTGATGCCAAAAGTAAGTGGTGAACAACCTATTAGTACAGGTGTTTATACTATTAGATGGAAACGGTAAATGAAATTATATTATTTTTATTATTAAAATTGTTAAAATGATTAAATAATTTAATATTAATATTTTTTATTTTAGTGCAAATGATGATAATGCATTAGAAACTAGTAGTAGTGTTACTTTATCTCCGTTAGGAATTGAAGATGCAATAATTGGTTTAGAAGCTAAATTACCTGCTCATGGTTGGGTTCGTACGCCGTTATTAATATCGTATTTCATAAAAAATCATTCCGATCAAATGATTACATTACGATTAACTATGGAAGCTAGTGATGCCTTTATGTTTGCTGGACAAAAACAAGTAAATAAAATTATAAATTAAATTTTAATTATAAATTAAAAATTTATAATATGATAATAAACTTCATTAATTTAATTTATATTTTTCAATTTTAGATTGATATTTATATACTTCCAAAAAATGAAAGAAAAGTTGAGTGGATTTTACGACCATTGGTGGCAGGTTTTGTACAACTTCCAACATTATCACTAACAATTCCTGATGGTAATAAGTTTATTAATTAATGTATTTTTAATAATTATATGTTAATCAAGTTTAATTACAATCATATATAGATGAATACAAATTAAGTAAAACGCGACTTTTGGAAGTGGTAGAGAGATCAATACCAAGTCATATATACATTCTTGTAAGTATTATAATTTTATTGGAATTCACACATACAAAGTTAAAATTTGAATATTTTTTTTTTTTATAGCCAACTTCACAAACTATAGAAGAATAAACAAAATATCAAATATAGTGAGGAGATAGGTAATAGAGAAAAAAGAAATTTTGTTTTTTTATCATAACACATTATTGAGCCACAGATATATTATCTATACATTCTTAAATATATAAAAAAAATTTCGTATTTAAAATTATAAATATTAATTTGTTAAATATAATTTATTTACTTTAAAGTGTAATAAACAAAAGTTCCTTATCCTTAAATATATATTTAGTTGTTATATGTTAGTTTAGTTTAGTTATAGTTTAGATATTTATTGATGCGGGCAGCGGATATCGATTATATTACCATACTTATGTTTCTATAGAAACCACATTTATGCAACCACAGTGTATACGTGAAAACATTTTTCTAATTCGTAATAAATGAAAATATTTTAAAATTAAAAATTATAATAATAATAATTAAATTTGAAGAAAATAGTGAATTGTGAATATAAAGATTATAATAATAACATATTGATAATGTCCGATAATAATTATATTTCTTTAAAAAAACCACAAAAGAAAAAGCACTTGCAAGAATTCTTAACACCTATTTTTCGTATAAATTCAGAGGAATCTTTGATTCGTAATAGAAAATTTTTAAAGGTATGCTATTATTGCTAAAGTTAATTCATATGTAATCTTAAAAATTAAATTTTTTATAAATATTTCGCAAATTAAAATAGATATTTTTATATTTTATTACATAATTAATGTTTAATATAATGAGAAATTATGTATGTAAAAAAAATTTTAAATTAGGATCTAGAACTTGCAAAAGCACGTTTGCGAACTTACGCTGCATATACACCAACTGATCGAGAATTACAACAACGTGTAATGGAATATCGCAAACATCTTCAGAAATATATATAAAAATTTTTGCTTCATAACAAGTTGATTTCATGTTGCAAATGAAGTACATCCATTCAATTTGATAACTCGAGCCGAACGAACAAACTTTCAAGTGAAAAGTTTGTTGATCGTTAGGATCGATGCACCAAACTGATAATTCAACCGATTGTATTAAACTAATGAAATAAAAAATATAAACTAAATTTTATTATAAGAATTTATAATACTTAATAATATATTAGAATAAAATATTTTATCATTATAATTATGTAATTTTACTTTGAAAAAAGAGATATATACTTACATTGCAAGATGATCTATTACTATGAATTCTACAATATAGACAAATAGTTCTTATATAAAAAAATGTAAAAAGAGAACGCGCGAACAAGTACGAATATTATTCACCTGCAGAAATGAAATATTCACGTTCATTTTTTACGTGTGACGGTATTATCATCGCTCGTAATTACTGACACGTAGAACGTATATGTACGATAGGATAAGTTCGTTTCAGAAGTTACCTGATAACGACCTAAACCAATAATTCGACAAAAAGCTATATAATACTTCCACGTTATATTTCATTTGTAAGTATTTTTACAAAAATATAAAAATATGTCATTATCGTATATAAAATTTTTTCATAATTTAAAATAAAGCATTTATAATGATTTCTTTAAAATACATGTTATCTAAAATTATAATTTATAAGATGTTTTAAAGCATTAATATTTTAAATCTTACTTACCTGTTTGTTGATAAGACAAACATTTTTTATTAAACATTTTTTTCTATTTTTTTAATCGTTCTATATCGAACAAAAATTTAATCAGAACTGATATAAAACAGCTGTGTCGAATAAAGTCTTAATATAATTATATATTTCTATGTGGCTATATTATTTCACCATTTGAATAAACAAATTGACATTGAAATTTTTTGATTTAAATATTGTAGATAGCCTAAACATCTGTATCAATAGCATTTTTATCTCTTGAATAGCATCTTTCTTGTAATTTTATCTCCATGATAACGCAATTTTTAATAATTCGAAAAATATAATTAAGTTTAATTTAAAGAGAAATGAAATAGAAAATTTTATGAAACATTTTTAATTGCAACTATTTATTACAATAAATAAACATACAAACATAAACAATTAGATTTTTTTTAAATAAATTATATCTGAATATAATACCAATCGTATTTTTTAGTAAAACTATAAAAAGAAGTTAATACAAGCAGTACGAAATGATAGCATGTATCGCTTTGAAGTCATTTATTGCCGAGTTATGCATAAAATACACATTGATATAACTGTGTTGCATTAGTAAAACATTAATGCATTATCGTTGTTGGTTACCAAATGTAATATCCATTAAAATAATATGTACCATTAAATTTTATAAAAACATCGTTCATTGGCCTTGTAAGTAGTATCATTTATTACTTCTAAGATATTTTTAAGTTATGACTCATTTTTAAACAAACTGAAAAAGGAAAAATCGTAATTTTATCTATAGTTAGTAGAATACTGTAATGACACTATATCTTTGGAATGCTCTTTTTTCAAAATTGTGATATGTAATCATTTCTTAATATTATTTTATAAAAATATGAAAAAATTATAATATAAATGAAAAAATTTAATTAAATTAAAAAAATATATTATTTTTTATTTTAAAAAAATAATGATTTTTAATTTTTAAATTATAGTTTATAATATAATTAATAAATTAAATCCAATAATTTGAAGCACAAGGATTGTGGAAGTACATAATGTAATATCATAATACATTTTCATTGTTTGTACACAATACATACAGAATGTATAGATGTACTAAAATAATTATATGTTTAAATTAAATATTTCTATATACATTTAATATAGCTTGCAAAAAACTAATTTTTCTAATTTAACACTTGCTATCTTACCCCTATCAGTTTACATCTAAACTTTGCTTATCATTAAGTACTTATAAAACTGTTAATTATAGGTGCAATTTTTTCAGGATAATTTAAATGTACATGATGAGTTCCCTCTACTTTATGATATTCAAATCTTTTAGCACCTATTTTTATTTGATCTAAAACTTTATCATAAGATTCAGGATAATCAAGTTTCAATCCAGGTATAGCACGAATATTAAGATAAGCACATTTTATCCGAGTTGCATATACAAGTACCATATCTAAAGATATTGTACCCAATGCAGAAACCTAAATTAAATTATATATAAAATATGTTATATTATTATATTGTTGTTTTATTATTATAAAATCAATATCAATTAATATTAATCTGTAGTTGGTATTCTTAGATCACAATTAATGGAATTATAGATTATCAGTTGGTATTCTAATTGCAGATTATTATGATGATACAAACTATAGATTAATGTTATATATTATATAATATATAATATTATATAAAATAATAAATTCATATGTAATTATTTATATATCATAATGAATAAAATATTACCTTTAATCGCGGATCACGTGAAAAATAGTATCGTTCGGATTCATTGGCAGGTCGCAAACCACGTTTCATTAATATTATGGCACTTTCTCTAGTTATGGAACCTTTATAAGCATCTTCAACAATGCTAAGCACTTCATCATAACTATAGGATGGAATACTATCAGATTGTAGCAATTCATACTTTAAAAATTTGTCAATACTATCACTAAGTATAGCAACATTTTTTGCCACATCTTTTACACTAGGACTTGCAATATCTAAACTTATCATGAATTCCACTTCATCAGGATAAAATGCAGCATATAAAAATGATATTGCCCCTCCTAAGGAATGTCCAAGTAATTTGACCTATGATAATCATATTTAATTATATATTAAAATATGTAAAAACTGGAAAAAATATTTATTTATGAATACTTGATATTAATTCAAAATGATTATGAATATAAAATAATATATGGATATAAATTTTAATTTTATGAAATGTACTTTTTATATCATGCAAAATTGGAGTAAATACTTTCAAGGCTGACTGTTATATAATAATAATAATAAAACAATATTTTTTGTTTAATAGATTCTATGATTCATTGATAGTTATTTAAACTACTAAACTAAATTGAGTGGTAATACTTAATCCACTCGCTAACCTTCTTCCATTTGAAATATTTTACAATTCTACGAAGTAGAATAATACCATCCCAGTAAACATAATAGTATTGACTTTTTGGATAATGGGAAGATAAACCATGACCAGGCATATCCAAACAAAGTACTGAAATCTCATCACATAATAAAGGAATCAAAGTGTCAAAACTGCCAGCATTATCTTGACGTCCATGCAGAGCCACTATTGGTTGGATCCCTTTAGGACCCCACCATTTGCCTGCAGGTAATGATTATTGAAAGATATAGAATAATTTTTAGATTTATAATTACTTTAAATATATATAAATATACTAAAATTTATATTTCCTAAAAAAACATTTTTAAATAAAAATTTTAATATGAAACAAAGTTGTAGCTGAACAATAGAAATTTATTATGATTTTGAAAATATATATATATATATATATATGACCTATAGTTATACAACGATAGTACATGATTTGGAATGCATGTATTGTACATATGAATACATATAATGATTAATTATATAAATCTATAACAGTCAACCTTGTTCCAAGTAATTTTTATATGAATTTAGTCATTATATAATTATATATAATATATATAATATAACAATTCTTTTATTATAAATAAATCCAAAATGATATCAATATAAATATTTATGTATATTATCAAAAAATTAAACATGAAAATAAAAAAATGAATTTTTATATAAAAAAAAATTAAAATTAATAAATGATCGTTGTATAACTTTTATTTGCTAGCTAACCTTGTTCCAGTTATAATATTTAACAAGTCTACGTAGTATAACAAGCCCATCCCAAAATACATAATAAAATTGTCCACTAGGAAGATGGGAAGATAGACCATGACCTGGCAAATCTATAGCTAGAATGGCTACATTTGATGGTAATAATGGAATTAATTTATCAAATGTTCCAGCATTATCTTGCCAGCCATGTATTGCTACTATGGGTTGTTGATCCATTGGTCCCCACCATTTGCCTAAATTTATTATCATTATTCTTTGATATTTTGTAAATATTATTATAATATTATTAATAAAAGAAAATTTTTCATATATATATTTATAACTGCAATTAAAATGAATTACAATATTTACTGACCGCTTAAATAACCCCATGGTACAGGTATTTGAATTTCTTCTACATCTGAAAATTATTAATATTTTATAGTAATTAATTAAAAAGCTGTAATATAAAAATATATCAGTAAATAAAATATTAACTTACTATGTACTTTATGTCCATTTATATTTTCAGTAGAATCACTAGTTTTGTCAACTGTATTCATCTGGCTGATAATAAAATACTAATAATGTTTAAAATTTGTAAAGAATTATTTCTCTTATATACTTAAGAGTTTTTAAGTTTTTCTGAAAAAAATTCATAAAATAAAAATATCAATTTTCTAAATTAAAATGTAAATTAAATATGAGTATAATTATGTTAAGTCATAACTTATATATAATATAATTATTACCTTTTTTAAAATTAAAAATGATACATTATATATTTTTATTATGTTTTTAATTTACTTATGTATTTTATAAGAAATTTATTAATAATTTATTGTATTATCAAATAAACGTTTGGAAACTTATTTAGAAAGAAGAAGAAATCTTTAATATTATATAATTCTTACAAATATTATACTTCGAATTTTGATGAAATTATTTAAAATTTAATGTAATACTTTACTGTGCGTTTTCTAAATATATCAGATATCAAAGGAGGATTACACAGCACTTTTATCTAAGATAAGTCTACTTTTTTAACATATAACACATTGGAAGACATACTTACGTATTATATATATATATATATATATATATATATATATACACATA